GAGCATCCTAAACATGCTCAATGGGTGACATGTCCGGTAAGTATGCTGGCCATGCAAGAACTGGGATGTTTTCAGCTTCCAGGAATTGTGTACAGATCCTTGCAACATGGGGCTGTGCATTATCATGCTGCAACATGAGGTGATGGTCGTGGATGAATGAAACAACAATGGGCCTCAGGATCTCGTTACGGTATCTTTGTGCATTCAAAATGCCATCAATAAAATGCACCTGTGTTCGTTGTCCATAACATACGTCTGCCCCTACCATAACCACACTATGGGCCACTCGATCCACAATGTTGACATCAGCAAACCGCTCACCCACACAACGCCATACACGCTGTCTGCCATCTGCCCTGTACAGTGAAAACTAGGATTCATCTGTGAAGAGCACATCTCTCCAAAGTGCCAGACACCATTAAATGTGAGCATTTGCCCACTCAAGTCGTTCACGACGACAAAATGCAGTCTGGTCGAGACCCTGATGAAGACGATGAGCATACAGATAAGCTTCCCTGAGGTGGTTTCTGACAGTTTGTGCAGAAATCCTTTGGTTATGCAAACCGATTGTTGCAGCAGCTGTCCGGGTGGCTGGTCTCAGAAGATCTTGGAGGTGAAGATGCTGGATGTGGAGGTCCTGGGCTGGTGTGGTTACACGTGTTCTGTGGTTGTGAGGCCGGTTGGATGTACTGCCAAATTCTCTGAAACGCCTCTGGAGACGGCTTATAGTAGAGAAATGAACATTCAATTCACGGGCAACAGCTCTGGTGGACATTCCTGCAGACAGCATGCCAATTGCATGCTCCCTCAAATCTTGTGACATCTGTGGCATTGTGCTGTGTGATAAAACTGCACATTTTAGAGTGGCCTTTTACTGTGGCCAGCCTATGGCACACCTGTGCAATAATCAAGCTGTCCAGTCAGCATCTTGATATGCAACACCTGTGAGGTGGATGGATTATCTTGGCAAAGGAGAAGTGCTCACCAACACAGATTTAGACAGATTTGTGAACAATATTTGAGAGAAATAGGCCTTTTGTGTATGTAGCAAAAGTCTTTGAATTCAGCTCATGAAAAATGGGGGCTATGTTTACATTGCAGGGTTAATCCAGCCTCTAGTGACTGTCTTCATGACAGCCACTAGAGACGCTTCTGCGATGTGCATGCATTTCCTGTGGGCTTTTTGAATGCGCTCGCGGCTCTTGCCGCGCATGCGCATTCCGCTCCACTTGGGAGCTTACATCGGCAGGGGAGGAGAGGTCACCAGCGCCGAGGGAGACCGGCGCTGGATTAAAGTAAGTAACTTAAGCGCCAAGGGAGGGGGGCCCTGAGGGTGTGGGGGACTTAAGGGTTATATAGTATCAGGAAAACAAGTTTGTTTTCCTGATACTATAGT